AGCTAACCTCATCCTTCATTCCCAACTACTCGTGCAACTTGTTTTCCAACCACTCAACAGACGTCTTCACGCCTTCAATTCCTGATTTGAAATCCGAATTCTTATCCTTAGCGGGTTGACCACATGATGTTTCTGTAATAGGTCGAATAGGTGACGGGAGAACAGGTGAATATTCAAATGGCCATTCGGGTCCAGAATATGCTTTATTTTCATCTCGTTTAACGCAATAGACTAGAGAAGACCAGTTCGGAGAAGTACAATACTCTTTCCACTGGAACAGAGGATTGTCATCCTCCATATAAAACCTAAATAAATGTGGCTTTGTATGACCGGTCAGTTTGTTGACCAGGAAGGGTTTAACAGTTCCCCACCAGTCAGCAATTTCATCCATGAATGTGCACAAAGGACGCTCTTTTTGGGAACTGGCAACGAGTTTGAATAGGTCGAGCATGGTATAAGCATCGTGCATTTTCAGTTTGCGAGAGAAATGACTGAAAATGGCATCAACGTCCATATATGTATGCCCTACCAACATAAAACCGAATTCGGTTTTTTTGAAGAAACCAAATTTGACCAAAGCTGCAGCCAGAGACAAAACGTATTTGTTTTTGTTTTTTCTCCAACAGTTGTCGGCTTGTATCCTTAATTTAGGAGGTAAGTCGCTTGTCGCCTGTATGTCACGCAAGACTTTCATAATGGATGACACCACAACATTGGAATTATGTGGATAGCAAGGGTACCATGTGTGAACATGCACCGATGGTGAACGACCGTGTGTGATAATAGCTGTTAAATTTGTTTTCATCATTGGAATATTCGCGAATGCCTTCGACTTGTTTTCTCCGCCAAAGTGTGGAATACTCGTTTTGCTTTGGCCCATACCGTCAATAATGATGCATAAACTGTTGGAACCTGGTCTCTTTGACTCATCCTTCCACACCTCATAAGCAGCACGGTGTTGGAGCTGCAAGTCCAAGTGTTTGTCGCGTTCCGAAACGAAATAATCACGCACACGTATGAACTTCGCAAAATTGATAGATTCTTTGAACTCAACACACTTTTCGCATTTCGCAAAGTTTTGATCAACTTCATGGAATTTCACATGCCAGAAGTGTGTTCTCCACATGTTATAGAAAACTTGGAGAGAAACAGAAGGGACACCCAGGTTGTCAAATTGTGACCTCAACGACTTGTAAATATCAACCTTGTTATAGCAAGCGGGCAACTCAAAACCATTCGTGATTCTCGATCTTTGATCCTCATGTCATTGGGCATGGAATCTCCATTGTCACACACAAAGGAGCTTAGTTTGTCGAACATCGTCGCATATGTTGAAGATGTGCGTCTGAGTCCAGTGCTGCCATGCTCCGGCATAATGTAACCTTTTGACAAAGTCGCCCTCTTTTTCAAAAATGTATTCCTGCACACACCCAGTGTGAAACACCATGCACTAATACACACCTTTCGTTTTTCCACAATAGGTTGCACAATCTCTTTCTCATCTTCCACGAAGGTGAACCTCTTTAACATTTCAACCCACCATGCATCTCTACTTTTATGATCCTTACAGTAATATGCACTTCAGACAGCTTTGATGTCTTCTATGATCATGCGAGCGCAACAATCTTGTTTACAACAAACTTGTCCACGCACACTCGCCAATGTTTTTTTGGTGAACTGTTTGCAGAATCTTCTTTGACTGAGCCATTCTGACACGAAAAGTATAAGGACGCTTCTCCGACGACAATCGTTTTGGGAAAATGTCATTTAAATCAGAGATGACATCAGAACTCTCCATACCGTTGCGACAGTAGTGGTCAGTGCCATCATCATCGCAAGGTTGTGGATGATCAATTTTGTCTGGAGAACTGTTGGCGTCAGATGACATCGAAGCACCAGATTCCGAACCATCTTCATCACTCTCGCCAATCAGAAGGCCTGTGCACTCGAAATCTCGTAGCAAACTTCTCGGCACCCATATGATACGATCTACATCGGATGTGTTCCTGTTATCGGAGGCGGCCCTACCCTGACCTTCCGAACCTTCTGCACCAGAGGTTTTCACTGGTCCGCTCAAGGCTGGAGATGCAGTTTCGCATGTGGTTTCTTCACACGCAGCCATCCAGGACCTTTTATGATCAGGAGATTCTGGAGTTATTTGAACGTCTTGCGAAAACATTGGCAGGTCTGGCGGAGGAAACTCATCATTAGGCAGTATATTAGATGCCACACAGTCCATGCTTTCCACTGGCAGCTTGCCGCAGTGCATGCCCACCACAAGCCATTTAAAACGTTTCTGCGATGACAAAACAGTGGACCACTGGCACAAGACATGCATATCAGTAACAAATCCGCAGCTAGATGGATCACATGCGGTATATGTAGAGTGCAACACATGTGGTTTAGCGCGACCTCTGCTAGCCACACACAACAGATGTAAGGCCCGTGAATGCGGAAAAAAATACAGTCTTCAATAAAAGCGATACACAAGAGACACGGCGACTGGTTGTCGTGTTGAACGCGATGATCTCCCGCCTCGCTCGTGTCGAATACAACGACGCATCATCGCATTGCACAACACGACAAGCGCACACGGCGAGAGCCACCGTCATCGTATTCTCACGATAGCGCGGTCATGTTCAACATGCCAGCGCTCAACTGTTGTCATGTCACGATCGATGCCCGTGTTTGTATGACAGCCACCGCCGTCCACCGCCGTCGTGTTGAAGATTACGATGAGCAACCGCTTGCTTGTTGAACGTGACGATGCTTTTGTGGCGAACATGTCCGCGATCGACCATTGCCTGTTGAACATTACCACCGGCACGGCGGCGATTCAACATGGTCGATTTCAACACTACGAGAGCAACCGTCATCACATTGAATACAACGGCGGGGTCGGGGGTGCCACCTTGGTCGTGTTCGACACGATGACAGCGACCGTCATCGTGTTAAACACAACGACGGGGTCGTGTTCAACACGTGGTGTACATGCCCACGCTCGACCGTCATCGTCTTGAACACGACCTGCGGTCGTGTTCGACACGAGGACAGCGGTCGTCATAGCTTCAACACGACGGCGGGGTCGGGTGGTGCCACCACGGTCGTGTTCGACACGATGACAGCGACCGTCATCGGTTTCAACACGACGGTGGGGTCGTGTTCAAAACGTGTTTTACATGAATTGTTGCTATAAGGTCTTCGTCGTGTTCGACCCGATGACAGGTTGAGCGCGAGCGTGCACACCACGTGCTAAACATGACCCCACCGTCGTGTTCAATCCGATGATGGTCGCTGTCACCGAGTCGAACACGACCGTGGGGTTGTGGGCTGCCACTGCGGTCATGCTCGATACGATGACAGCGACCGTCATCGGGTTGAACATGACGGTGAGGTCGGGGGTGCCACAGCGGTCGTGTTCGACTCGGTGACAACGACCATCATCGGATTGAACACGACGGTGGGGTCATGTTCAACACGTGGCGTACACGCCCTCGCTCAACCCGTCATCGTGTCGAACACGGCGGTCGTCGTACTGGACTCGATGATGGACGACTCTGTGAACTGCGAGAGAGATTTTGTTGACGTCCTGAAAAACCACGAATAACGAATAGTAGTAGTGGATGGGCGGGATTGGGGGGTTGG